TATGCATATATATAATAATAATACATATTATATATATATATATAAATATGTATACATATATATATATATATATATATAATATACATATGTAAAATATAATAATATAATAATATATATAGATAGATATATTGCCGCGCTATGCTTTTCTTTCAGGCTTCCAGATATAATTGGAAAAAATATGAGATGAATTTAGGTGCAAATTTCCGAAATTGGGAAGTATTATTATTACATGAGTTGAAAGTTTGTCATTCTCCGATTTCATGGAGAACACACAAACGACTATATTGTACATAATCACATATCTGCACCCACCAACTACATGGATATGCACACGTCCCAACACACACTCTCCCCCACACATAGATACCCGAACAGACACGCATCAAAAACTGAACGCGCACACACACACTCAAGCAGTCTCTATCTTTCTCTCACTCTCTCTCTGTGTGCGTGCGTGCGTGCGTGTGTGTGTGTTGTAATGCCCCATCTCCCCATACATCTACACGGGCCTAACATCCCACCCCCGGTTGCCTAGCAGCCCTCTTCACCACACACCCATCCATTCACACACACATACCGCATTGCTGAGCTCGATATACGTTGTCTGCATGGAGGGCACGACGGCATTCTGCACCAACGTGCTAATGAATCCCATGATATCGTTGACGTCCGGAGCGCTCAGGTACATGGCCGTGGCTACCCGCTCCTTCCCACTGTTCATGACTGACGATCTGCGTGAATTGTTCAGGTCGTTGCTAGGCGACATCATGGAGGGTCGTTGTTGTACGGGCACGCGGGGGGATATGGGCAGCGGAGAGCTTTGGAAGGAGTTGACCCGTCCCACTACACTCGACGTGTCAGCGTTTACGTCGGACTGTTTAAATGATGTGAAACAAACTATCAGTAACAACTTGATCAGAGGAGTCTGGACGTGTTGCCGTCGAGCTGTTTTAGTAGGTATGTGATATGTTGTCAATGAGCTCAATGAGCTGTACAGCTTAAAGGGACATTGGGGTTGTTGAAAGGATAGGGGTGCGTGAGCTACTTCCATGAAGGGTAGGGGCAGCATGGAATCAGTAGGGTAGTTGAAAGGATAGGGGGGTGTTAGGGTTGTTAAAAGGATAGGGGTGTGTGAGCTACATCCATGAAGGGTAGGGGCGGCATGGAATCATTCGGGTTATTGAAAGGATAGGGGTGTGCGATCTACATCCATGAAGGGTAGGGGCAGTTATTGAAAGGATAGGGGTTTGTGAGCTACATCCATGAAGGGTAGGGGCAGCATGGAATCATTTGGGTTGTTGAAAGGATAGGGGTGTGTTAGGGTTGTTGGATAGGGGCGTGTGAGCCACATCCATGAAGGGTAGGTACAGCATGGAATCAATAGGGTTGTTGAAAGGATAGGGTGTTGAAAGGATAGGGGTGTGTGAGCTACATCCATGAAGGGTAGGGACAGCATGAAAGTCGGGCTGTCTACATACGATGAGATAATCTGTATAAATGATAGCCAAGAAAGAAACTTCAAGTTGTATAGTGGATATGATATCATAAACAATGCCAGTGAACATTACATGTACAATGGACCTTAGATGGATGTGGCAATAACATTTTACACCATGATCTTTAAATATCATAAATGTGGCAATAACATAATACACAATGATCTTTAAATACCTTAAATGTGGCAATAACATATCACACAATGACCCTCAAATATCTTAAATGCGGCAGTAACATAATAGACAATGACCCTTAAATATCTTAAATGTGGCAGTAACATAATACACAATGATTATTAAATACCTTAAAAGTGGCAATAACATATTACACAATGACCCTTAAATACCGTCGAAGCGGCAGTAACATAACACACAACGATCCTTCAATACAGAACGTACCTTAAAAGTAGTGATTACGTCCAGAAATAGCCCATCGACTTCGCGATCCACGTGTGCTGGGTCGGGGTTGGTGTTTATATTCAGTCGATAGACTGTTTTCCCGTCGAATCGGGCTTGTATGGTACTGTGCATCTCATCACCCCCGTCACTGGTATAGGAGAAGAGTACTGGGAAAGTAAGAGGTCCGGCGGATAACCACATGTACGGCAGGATACACACATGCACAATATATTTATATATATATACATGTATATACAAATACATTCATACATACATACATACATACATACATACATACATACATACATATATATATATATATATATATATATATAACACACACACACATATATATATATATAATAACACACATACACACAACACAC